TTGTACCTTGTGTTTGCATATGATTATAAATGTAAGGTTTAAAGGTCGCAATATTATAACACCCTGTAGATAGGTAACGAAGCGTTTGCGGACCTACGTTTATGTGAACTTTTAGTCATAAAATAAGTCAGAGAATTAGTCCCTTCCGTATTTCCCTTCCGTGTTTACATCATATCTAGGAACACCCTGTACAAACAAATAGATCCACGTTGTTTTTAGAAGCCTCAGATCAGAAATTAATTCTACAACCAAAAATCTGACAAAATACGTGAGATAAAAATGGTTTTGGAGAATTTCCAACATTCGAAAACTAAACGGTTTGGATTTTCAAAAACTTCTTTAGACGCAAGGTTGTAGAAACTGGTTCAAAGCACCACTCTCTCCGCACAGAGGATTTTCTATGATGCTTGGGGGACCTGTGCCAGAAGAAAAATATTTTATTTATTTTTAACTTTTCCGCATATCTCGAAAAGGGAGAGGGTGCTCGCAAAGGGAATCTGATAGATATCTACGACATGCATGATGCATCCTTCGGTAGGGTTAAAGCTTCAACTGTGAATATCTCGAAAACGGCTTGTCAGAAGAGCGTACTTACAAATGATGCATGTTTGATACCAAGGTGTTCGGATTGTCTCATAGATAAACCTTATTAATATTGTAGACACAGCACCCAGAAATCCATGGGGATAGAAGAACAAAATTTCAATTTTAAAAGGGTAGCAGCCCTTTCGTGTTAGCTTTAGGTATTAGCTTTGTCCAAACAATTCCTTCAGTTGTATAACATTTCGATATGATCTCTTAATGAGATAATCCAAAACATTCCCACCTCTTGATGCCGCCACATCCCGCACTAATAAAATTAAATCAAATTACTTTGACTCCGGTACCGAAAGCGACCGATAACGATCGCCTAATGCCCGTTTTGTGGAACTTAAAGGACGTCTTCGAGAGCCGAGAAGAATAAACTGTAAACATTAAGTCAACTTTCCTCAGGTACCTACCATTTTGACATCTCTAAAGAATACCAGCGGTAAATCAAACAAATCGGGACAAAGGCATTTCTGGTCTGAAAAAGTTACAAACGGTCCGATGAAATGGCCTTTGTCAAATTCGTCTCGCGATGAAGTGTATGGTTTCCGCACAAGTGCGTAAAAAAACAAACGAAAAGGGGAAGAGATCGAATTCCAGTCCGGCAGGTAAAAATGGCGATTTCGAGATGCAGTTTTAACGGAATTACGCCATGCACTTTTGACTGTAATTCGACTAGCGTTAGACGGCCTTTAAATTATTCATAAAGTAAATGTCTTTGGTGCGCTCTTACCGCCGGTATTATAGGTATGAAATTAATTCTTATATTTACGACGGAGAGGACTTTGTGAAAGCCAAATAGGGTTGGGATTATATGCGCGTCTGTGGGATGGGAGATACTAATTGTATGTGTACTTTCAATTTTTCGATTCTTACGTACGTTTAATTCTAATATATGCGCTCGTAATTACTTGAAATAACACCGTGTAGGATCTTGTTTGTTATTTTGTAGCACTTTCATGCCGCGGCGATTGTGAATCATCATCTACTGGTGTGACCACTCTTTAATTAAAGCTCCGTCAGTTAGGTCTTACGTCTGTAACTTCATGTACTTACATGAAACGTACAGAGAGAAAGGATTCTTAAATTCTTCTCAAAACAATAGTTCCACCCAGAAAAACCTTTGGCTGTTTTCCCACCGAAATAAATGTTGAATAACAATATTGACTCATAATTCAGGTAGTTTGGATCAAGACAAGGTCAGATTCCACAGAACGCGAAAAATGATGTGATTTGGAATATCAAACTTATCGTTTTTAGGCTCAAAAAAGTTTGTAAATGCAAAAGATTTGGCTTGTACCTATCCTTTGTCTGAAACTTTCAAAACGCGTGCTGCCAAATCTGTTCTATTTCTTAATCGCAGCATTGAAGTTATGAATGAATGCACCCTGGAATGCACCAAAGGATAGGATACTTAAATTTCCTTCATATATGCCAGCATTAACGATGCATTTAAAACTTTGTTCGTAAGATACTTCCACGAAAACAACTTTTCCTATTCTTTATAGTAAGCTTTACTAGATGTGAATTTTGCACCTACCAATTTTTCTTCTGCTTGTGCAACAAGCCATTGAATGGACGGTATCTTATCATTTTTAACCGAAGAATACTGTTCGTGTACGGGTCTTAAGAAGTCATAAAAGCCTTCAAGAGGCCTGAATAGAGTGATCTTTGAGTCTTTTTGAGACTTTAGGGTCTTTAGTAGCACTTAAAACCCTTTGATAGAACTTAAGTGGTTAGCTTTCAGAATACGTGACAGGTGTTACAGACAAAATTTGTATATACGTGGTTCTTTTAGTAAAGGCAAACATATCGCATATTTTACTCAGGTGTGCGCATGCGCAGACTGCGCAATGATAAGTTTCTTATATAAATATACTTTCTTTTAGAGTTAAGTTATTTAAGAGCATTTAAGGGTCCCCAATAATCTCCAAACTCCAAGAACCTCAGAGGGTCTCCAAGAACCTCCTGTTTTTTTAAATCTTTGAAGTGTTTGTTAGCCTCAGATTTTAATAGGTTTCATGGATCAATGAGAAAATTTGAAGAAACTTGAGATTGTTCAAAAGTATTTGGTTTCCAAGATCCTTCACGAGTCCTTTACGAAGTTTAAAGGTCTTTTAAGAGTTTTAGAAACTTTAGTGTTTTCAACCACTTCTTATAACGTTAAAGGGACCTTATGACCTTAAGAGCTTTTGTCACGGGTATAAACTGCCAGTCAAATATTGAGCGTAAAGAATTTGTTTGGATACTTGTAGTCATGCTACGCATGCGGAATGAGACATAGTGGACTATTGTCTGGTTGTGGTTTTCAATTACGCTCTGTTAATTAACCTTCTTTAGTAACTTTTGCAATTCAGCTATATGGGTATCAGGCTGTGAGAAAATTTTGATGTTAAACCACAGCTCCAAAATTCGTTCACGGGGGGGTTACTTTTCGAAAGGTTTAAATTGATTCGCGTTTGAATTTTCTGAAAGGCCACGTCAAAGGTCCTTAGAAAAAGATTCTCGAGACTTCAAAAAATATTTACTTTGGAATAATATCTGTAACGGTAACGCCTAATTTGAATAGCATTGCATTGTTACAGATTTGTTAGTAGAGTGAGTAGGGTAGTCGAAGGGGTACTGGCAAAATTGATAAAAGTGTTTTCCCGAGAAATTTTGGTGTAGTCGATTTTTGGTAAAAAAGGAAGGTAATAACTGCCTTTTTTGAGGCCCGAAAAGAAAATTGTCTCAGATCGACCCGGAGCAAAAATTTTCTTATAAAATGTGGCCTGTAGAATCCATAATATCAAACAGTTCCAAGATTGGGCTACTAGTTCAAAAGTTACAGCCCTTTGAATTTTCTTTCGCAATTGGTTTCTAGTCCATAACTTTTGATTGAGAAGTCTAATCGAAAAAGTACGACTTGTTTTGGATTCTACGCACCAAAATTAATAAGAAAAAGTGTTTTCCCGAGAAATTTTGGTGTAGTCGATTTTTGGTAAAAAGGGAAGGTTATACACTGCCTTTTTTTGAGGCCCGAATGTGGCCTGTAGAATCCATAATTTCCAACAGTTCCAAGATTGGGTTACTAGTTCAAAAGTTACAGCCCTTTGAATTTTCTTTCGAAATTGGTCTGTAGTCCATTTGATTGAGAAGTCAGTGATTTTAATGGCCGTTTTTAATAATAATAAACCATTCTGTAGGTGTTAATTACTCGTAGTTAAAAAAATAAATGCGGCAATTGAATTCATTTGGTTTTGGCCTAACAGCACGGTTCAAAATACAATTAACTTTTCAAAATTCGTTCGGATTTGGGTTAGCAGTTTCGGTTTTTAATCACGGTAGTGTTAACCGCCGAGCTCGCATCAGAAAAAAAAAAGGAATTCAGTTGTGGGTTACTCGCGCATCCCTGTGTGGTTCAGACTAATAGTTTTGCATAACCGTTCGAGCAGGGAAAAAATCTCATGCGTCATTTGCCAAGGTGAAACTTGCAGTCTTTCGGGCATCAGAAATTGGGTATTTTTCTTGAAACGTAAATATACAATGCGAGTTCCGTGCGTTTACAAGTAATACAAAAACGCCCAAAAGTGTATTACTTGTAACGTGTTAGTTTTTATCCACGCTAACGAAAGGGATTATTAGTTAAAGAAAACACGATAAAATACTTGAACAGTTAGGTGAATTACCGTCACGTAAAATTATTACCGTGTTCGGTCGAGGTCAAATCAATTAAACGTGCCTGTCGCATATTTTTTTTGCTACAAAGGTCTTTTATTCTGGCGCATAGGAAACAATAATAAGTTAGAATTCGTAATAAAAGTCTCCTCCTGTGGTAGTTAAAAATATTGCTTACCGCAGTCCATAAACACAGGCACTAGCCGTTCAAAAAACTAAGTCTAGAAGACAGGGATTACTAAACTACCGACGGAATGTTCCAATGTACAGTTTCAATTGTTTAATTTTTCTGAATCATTGCCTTTGTAAGAACGGCCGTCTCCAGCCTATTTTTGTATTAATATCGTCATCTGCAGAAGGACATTTTTTATATGCGGTACCGTTATTTTATCTATGTAAAAATTAAGGGTTGCATATCTTTAAGAAAAATCGTCGGACTTTATAATTGATTAAAGTACAAAAAATTATTTAAAAAAATTTGGAGTGTACGTTCTTAAAGATAGGCGAATTAAAGCCGTTTGTATTGCATGTATTTTATTATTGCAGAAATTCATGTTCAATCTGATTTAATCGGACAGTGATAAAGTAAAAAAGAATGGAAAAGTGAAAATATTCGCTCGCCACGTCACCACCGAGTATGTCGAAATTATTTATCGATGTGTAGTTGTAGTCCGATTAATTTTTTTGTGTAAAGTTCAGCGATAAGTAAAAGTTAGTAAATCTAAAATATCAACAAAGAAAAGGTAGGTACTAACCGGTCATCGCAACTACAGTGCATTAAAGTGTTCACCCTCCAATTGAACAGTCCATACTTGGTCTCGAACCCGCCAATCCAAAAGGGGCACGCTGTGTCGTGCCTCCTGCAGCACTTGTCCGTCCGCGAAAATCCGCCAAGCTCCGTGTACTTCTCGGCCGAAAAACCCTTGCCGCACCATTTGGTGCCCGGTATTTGTAGCCAGTCGACGATGCTCCGTTTCCTTCTGGACACACCATCGATAAAATGAGACATTTCGTACACTTAACCTAAATATCCCCATTTACAGGAATTGTGCTTGAATTTTTCTCGCTCGCGTTTTGTGGAAAAGTCGAACGTGTCAGATAAGGGCCCGCTTACAAATCACATTTATTCCGCGTCGACGCTCGCGACGCGACGTCCTATTTTTCTCTCGAACTTAATTAGAAATACGTTATACTTTATAAAGTCATACTTGTGGAGACGGGTTTCTTTTTCTACCATTACCTTTAAACGATTTTTATGGTCTAGACTTAAGGGTTGCGTAATTTAACTAATTACAATTTTTTTAATAACCTTCTTTACTCCTATTCTTTCACTTCGTTCAGAAGCACTACAATCCGTGAACAAACGGCCAAAAAAGTAGTTCCACAGATTAAAGTTTTAGGAAGGAGGGAGGAAAATTTTGGATTCGGGCTTCAATTTGTGAAAGATGGGTTTAGTGTGATCATACTCACCAAAAAGTGTACAAATTTCATTAGAAATACTGCTAAAAGCGTCAATACACACAAAAAGTATATTTCGTGCATTTCAACTAAGAGTTATACATTTTCCAAACAGTTTTCGAGATATACGTTTTGGAAAAATGCCAATTTCCCGGAAAAGATTTTTACTTGATATTTTTTCAATGCTTCATCCAGGAAAAAGCGCTTCCTAGTGAAAGAGAGGAAAATGTTGATAATAAATAAAAGATGTGACAACTTTCCTCCACTTTTTTCCAAACTGGTTTCGAGTTCTACGTTCTGGTTCTGGAAAATTGGTATTTTCTTAAAAAAATTTTAGTCTCACGCTTAAATTCGTTTTAATGTCATTCAATCCTCTATCCTAGAAAAAATGTCTCATAGAGAAAGAGAAAAACATAAATGCCACGACAACTTTCAATGACTTTCGTGCTATAAACCTTTTCTAAAACGGTTTGGAGATATACTTTTTGGAAAAGTTAAAATTTTCCACAAAAAGGGAAAGTAAAAAATGTTTCGATTCGAAATAAAAGTCGTTGCAGTTTGAGCCATACATCTTTCCAAACTATTTTCAAAATATACGTTTTGGAAAAGTGTCAACTCTCCAAAAAACTTGTTTATCCTAGAAATAAAGTCCCCATGTCGCAAGAAAATTAAAATTCCTCTGAAAATATATGAAATAGGTATAATTGACGTTATACTCGAATACATTTCTAACTAATTGGGCTAATTCTTCGTAGTTCTCCGTGATTGCCATTGGAAATGTCACTTGACCTTTTCTTATAAAAATCGCCGTCTTTGCAAATGAAAAGACTTCCATTCAATACAAGAACAGAAGAAAAGTTGGGTACGTGACGTTATTGAGACCACCAGATCCGATCATTAAATTAATAAAAATGACTAGAGGGAACCTTAATTAAGCGTTTTTAACAAAAAAAATTTGCGGGAGAAGCGCAAAATTGTGCACAATCTTAATTAACCGTTCAGTTCATTTCGTCGTAATCTGAGATTAAGTTACTTATATTTCGTCATTCTTTAAGTTGGTAAAACTGAAAAATCAGAAGTGACAACTTAAATTTTGTAAAAAATTATGTTAACTCCTTCGTCTACTAAATTGAAATAAGCTGGGTTAACGTGTATGGTAACAGTTAATGTAAATAAATGTAGTGTATATGAGCCGAAAAATGTCGTAGAAAGGGTCGCATTTTGGTTCTGCCCAGGATCGCCTTTTCCGTATCGGCCACCGAGAGGGAAATCCTCATCACTCTAAAGGGGAAAGGCTATCTTTCGCATCTTCCATAGACCGCTTTTTTGTTAGCAACCGCCGACTAACTTCGAAAGATTTTTTTGTATCAGCACAAAAAAAGTAAAAATGTTCATTGCAAATTTGCAGCCATTTTTTTAGCATCATAATAGATATGGAATGAATAAGCGCTCACATAATTGCTTCGCTGCGCTCGTCGGGAGCCAATCTTTATGCTCGAGCGAAAAACACTCACTATTCCCCACTTGTATAATAAATATAGCTATTATTTCGATAGAACAGACTAATAAATGTGTCGAAATATCAATATTCTTGTGACCACCATAGTCTAATAAGTGTTATTGTTGATTTGCATCATCATTAAATTATTTCGTATTTAGACCCACCGTTCCTGTAATCCTGATAACAGCATTTTTGGAAGACAAATTTAATCCAGTAGAAAGTGGGTGACCTATTTCTCCATTCGCCCCTACACGCATTCCTGTGATCCTGTTACAATGATGTTTGGAAGTGGTTGGCAATCCGTTTTAGTTTATTAAAAAAATACAGATAATATCTGTGTGAATGCAGTTCGTCCAGTCTGATGGGGCTTGGAGGTAAGATCTGAAAAATCTTCTTTCGTTCCTGTGCTTCTGATCCCATCATTTTTGAAATACACATTCTTATACTGTTACGAACCTATTTTTTATTGGGACATAGTTCATATGGTAAGAGCCGTGTAACAAGAATTACTTCCTATTGGATCCTGATACAATATTTTTGGATGAAATCATTTATATAACAGGAGCACTAAAATAGTTGCCAGTAAATCAATTTAGTTGTTATTTGCATCTTCTTTCGTTCCTGTGATCCAGATACTTTTTGGACGAGAAATTGACCAACTTAGATCTCATATTTCTGTTATCCTGAGATTTATTGCTTGTGTTTAAGAATAATACAGGAAGAAGACTTACCCTAGAATATATTTGACCATAAATTATCCTACTCATTTTTTGATGAATGAATATGTAAAAAGTGCCAGTCAATAATTATTTCCTATTTACCTTCTTACGTTCCTGGCATTCTGATACAATACCTAATGTTTGGATGAAACATTTTTCATTAAAAGAACCCAATAGCCTAGAAAATGGCAGTTCCCATTTACACCTTTCTGTATTTCTGTGAGTTTTGGGAAAAAACATTATCAGGAAAATATAAGTCTAATATTTGACAAGTAATTCAAATGAGCTAAAACCTGTAAAAAGGGTCTTGAATAGACTCTTCCAGAGTATGAAACTGGGGTATTCCCAGACTCCCCGGTGCTTTATAGCCCTCACCACTCTCATTTCCTAAGGAAGGAAGTCGAAGCCTTCGGGGTTGGGAATGCTCCATACCCCCTAAATCCCCAGTGCACAGCAGTCTCATGACGATCTTCTGAGAAGAAGAATCTGAGTCCTATGTTCTGGGGAGTATGCCCACATTCCTGTGATACGTTCTCCAGTCATAGGCTTAGAGCATCCGTCACTGTCATGGTCATTTTGGAAGTCGTCTTTGCTGAAATGCTGAGGGGCCTCGGCGCTACTGGCAAATATTCGATTACGCTGTGATGACAGACCCCCTGACGATAGGCAGTCCACCTTACAGTGAAAGTAAATTCAAGAGACGATTCTGCGCAGCTGCCGGAGAACAGGATTTTTTCGAGACGAAACCTGGCAAAAAGTTAGCTACATTCCGATGGCGGGACAGGTATGCAATTACAGATAGTAATCATTTTATTCTTGTCTCGTAACCATCAATCTTGAAATTTCGTGTCACAATGTGTTATTATTTGATACCGTTGATGTATTCACGTGGAAGTATATTAATAGTGTGATGTTGCCGTGTCGACTATAACCGTTTATTCCGTGGACGAAGTACCTCATGTAGAATTTATTTAACTGCATTTGCTTTGGTATCTTTTTTCCTTTTGTGTGCGTAATAAATTTTTGTTTTCTTGTCTTCTCTTACGCACAAAAAAAGTTAAAATTCAAATCTCTTTCTGATTGGGTCTCACATCCCAACACATAATAAGAACCACCATAGTATACTTCCACAATGTAGGAGTCGCATTTGTACCATCCAGTGAAAACCGGCCATTGCCAAGATTTAAAAGTGGTGCGAAACATCCGACTTTTCGACATGGAAGTTAGATGACTCTGCTTGTCATTTTCCAAATATAGGTTGAGTCGAGGAGTGAGTCAAAGTGTCAGGTCCGGATACAAGGGCCCCTAAGATCACTACAGTAACGATGGGTCTTCTTTGCTCCATACGACCAGGTTCTCACGCAAAATATTTAGAGCTGTCGGACTCTCATGGTCTAAGTAGATTAACCAAAGTCTTCTTTACAGGGGCGGTATTTCACATTCCCAGATCCCTAGCGTTATATTTTCTCGCCAAAAGCTTAAAGCACCTCCCGTGATCATTTTGTAAGGAGGATAATCGACATCTTCTTTCCATATGCTCATACCCTCAGTGCTACGTTCTTCTCCTGCCCAATATATAAAATCTTCACCCCCTTCTTTCGTGATATTTTCTAACAAGGGTAATCGAAGTATTCTCTTTAGACTCCCCCCCCCCCCCTCCATTCCTACATTCTCTCGGCAAAAATTTAGACCTCGCCCGACAGAAACAAAAACCTCGCACGTAGACTGAGGAGGGGACCAGGAGAGATCCCTTAAGCATCTCTGACGTCATTATACTCATTCATAACTTACTGCCTTGCCGATTATTTCTGCTCCAAACTAGTTATCTCTGCGAAACACATTAGGAATAGGGACAACGGGAAATTTAGTGTTTTTATACAAATATTTAACGTGTTTCTTAATTCAGTTTTCAAAAAAAAGGGTTAGAATTTGTACCATTTTAGTGCCGGCGTTAAACCACTTCTCTATTAAGTGTGTGTGAATTCATAACAACTAAACGAAAAAAAAAAAAACAAAAAATAAAACAAAATAAAAATCCTACCTGTTGTCGCAAAAACAGTGCGACATAGTAAAAGGTTTCGGATTGTAGAAGTGATACTTGGTAGTGAATCCGTCTATGTTCAACTTGCAGTGGTCGTGTTTTCGGCAGCACCTGTCTGTGTTCGACATAGCCCCCAAGTTTGTATAGGAAGGCGCTATGTCGTCGTAACCGCACCAAAGGGTGCCCGGCCATATTAGGTAGTCCGAAATCGCTCGCGTTTGTCTTGACCTGTATGTGGCAAAAAATGGTACTTAGGCAAATGAAGTAATAGTAAAGGGAAAGAGGGTTGGGTTCATGCGAAAGTATAAAAGCGAGTGTGCTCAAAGAAGGTACGCATACTGATAGAAGCAGTGGGTGTTCGGAAACAAAAATGGGTGCATCTATGGAAGCAGGTGCACATTTAACCCCAAGCTTCTTCAAACATGTGTTTTGGATAAAATTGAATAATACCTTTTCAAAAATTAACTTCCGTACTCCAACGACTGTTACAGGAGATTAAACGATTTCTTACTCCTCTGGTCTGTCGTACTTCTTCATTGGTTCAAAATGTTGACTGAGAGTTTTGCATTTATTAATTGAACCTTAGCATTTTAAACAATTGACTATTGCTTTTAATAAACTGGAAATTTCTAACTATGGAATTTCATTTTATTTTTACATTTCGGTTTTGCCACCATTCACTATCAATACGACAAGGAAATCATCTTCAACAGGTGGTCGCTTTTCCGCTTCAAAAATTTTGTTTTTAATTTGTATTTTGTTCAACATAGGAAAATTTATACATATACCGCTTCATAGCGAATGTGAACGAAAGTATGTCTTGAAATAAAAGCGATAGCAACGCGTTTATTTTTGATAAAGATACGCATTTTGGAGATAAAACGTTGGTTTGACTGGATTGTAAAGGAGTTTTCGGCAGACGAGGTTAGATTTTCAAAGAGCTAGCACGTATTATTTGCGTGTGAGAATTTTATTTTCGCGTTTCACAGCTAATTTCGCGAATGGCTACGTACCGTCATACGTGCGCTAAAACTTCCATTTGTACAGAGATAAAATGTTACCAGTTTTATTTTAAGTACAACATTCTAAACAAGACCGTTGTTACTCTCTTTCAATCGGATCGTTAAGCAGCGGTGATTGAAACCAAATTTTTTGAAGTTAGCCCAATGTCGTTTTTTTTACGAGTGGTAAAATCTACGAGAAGGACCATTTTCGAGTCGGAGAAGCACGTTCCAAGACGGAATCAATTAATCTAACATTAAATTCATTGTGATAAACAAAGAAGTGTTTTGGATCGCTAACAGTAACGGCTGGTTAAAAACAAGGTCCTTAAAGACAGAAATGTGGCCATTGGAGCCTGAATTTTTAAAATTATGGACTGTAACGTACCCTTAACGCCACCTTCACTAAATTAGGCATAACACTCCTACGCGCGCCCGAAAGTCTACTTAAAACAACCCCAAAATGCCACTTTAAGTAACACTAATAGCTGTAGAAACCACCAAGTCGGAACGCAAGGGACCCAGAACGGTCCGGAAGGCATTTCCGTTTCCTGTCTGTGCCTGCAAACCCATCTGGGGACTGGATTACGCGAATCGGAAAAGCGCCTGGCTCCAAGAGCAGAACGCACAGTTTTCGCGGCTGCCGCCAGCAAAACGAGACTTGCCCCAGAAGGAACTCGTGCGCATGTTGGAACTGGGGTTGGTAGAAGAATGTGATTTCACCTGGGCCGTCCTTGTCGTCATGGTCTCCAAACGGGACGGGACCGTAAGAGCATTGATTATCGCCGATTGAATTCCCTCTCCATCTCCGCTAGTTATCCATTACTGAGGATGGATGACTTCCTTCACGTGTTGGATACTGGAAATTCATCGTACGATGCGAGGATCACGATAAAACCGCCTTTTGGCTTATATCGTTTTAAAAGGATGCCGTTCGGGCTTAGAAACGCCCCCGCGATCGTTTTCGAAACTAAAAAATGGCATCGACTGAGCAGCAGACGCAGTTCTTCATTGAGCTAAAGAAACTGCTAACAACCCATTTTACTTCTGGCGGACCCCAGCCTGCCCTTTAGATTACGCACCGACACCAGTGGGTACGCCTTAGTCCTGGGCCAAGGAGATAAGCACAAGAAGCGCCCAGTTGAATACGCCACCCGCCTCCTCAACCCCACTGAAAGGAATTCTACAGAACGGGAAGCGGTCGCAGTCGTTGGGGTATGATGGGCTCTCGTCCTCCAGCCGTTCAAGGCCACCCCAGAAAAGTACTCCCGATGGGCTGAGCGAGGATATCTTATCAGCCAAGGGATTCTTTACCGGTAATCGCCCGACTCCAACTCTGAGGACCCCCAATTATTAGTCGTTACTGACGCAGCAAAAATTATGATCTAAAACCAAGTCCGAGGCAGAATACCGGAATGACCACTGTCCGGTTTGCTATGCACTCCACCAAGAACCAATCCACGAGATCTGAGTGACCTAGAGATCTGCGCATGCGACAAGTTCAAAATCATTCCCTGTGTTCAGGGGGCATTCCAAGGTCACTGAAGAGCATACACGTGGGTTCTGTCCTGAACTAAAACAAGGTCACTGCAGGTCAAACGGTGTGGTTCGTCGCTGAACTACTTAGGTTAATTTCACTGAAGGTCAAACGGTGGGTTCCTACCTGAACTAAAATGTAATTCGACCGCCGTGTATGGCCGATTCTGAGATGTGAAGGAAAAGAACTTATGTAAGTCTCTTTCCTTACAAGATATTAAATATGTCTGGGATAACAGAGGAATCATGGACCAAACCTGTCGATGCTGTGACGGCAATGAGATTCATTATTATCCAGAGTTCGCAGAGGAATACAGCGATTACAGCACCGAGGAGTACCAAGAGTGCCTTCTAAATGTATCCTAGTGACTGAAGATGGCATATTTCCTTGTGTATGAATTAAGACAATTGTATGTAAAGTAAGTAAAGAAAAAGAACAGTACTAAAATGCAATAGAATGAAGCGCTTACAGATAAAAAGCGATTGTGCAAGCAGATAAGACTCAAAGTACAAGTATAGCAAACCTGGCCGAAGGTTGGTTTTCTTTGGGTGCGTTTCGGTTTTTCGATGCGATTAGGAAAAATTGGGTGGGAAAAAAATTCGTCTCCGAGGGATACCGAAAATTTGAAGTATATATAGGGGGTGGTAATAAGATTCTTTATTAAACGACAATCGGTAAAAAGTTTAAGGACGATTAATTGGTGCTTTTGCTCGATGTTAGTAAACCCTCAAATACAAGGGAAAAATTGACACACTGCCGAACATTGATAAATTATGCCAGTGAGGAAACAAAACTTTTTTAAAATGATTGGATTTTTGATTGTATGGCTGTTTTACCATTAATAACGCAAAATACGACCCATCAGGATCGCAAAGTTACAAAGTAGGTATCTAAATTTGGGATTTCCCGTCATAAATTCAGAAAAAGGGGGTTTTGAAAGGAAATTTTACAAGATATTGGATATTCTGAAATTGGATCAACTTGGGAAATTGTTGGGGGATGTTTTATTATTTTGTGTAGATACTTTCTCGGTTGATATTTTCACTGTTCGTTTACAAAATTCGGTTCCTGATTGCATTCACAATTCTGATATGGATGGAAAGGAAGCTATGGGAAGTTACATCGTTATCAGGTCATAAACAAAAAAATGTCTGTTGTAAATCGAAATTGGGATTGTTAACGTTTGCAATTCTCCAATCACCATCACTGCGACCACTTTCAATTTGCCCATTTCAATAAATGTTGGACGGTAATTTACGGTTTACCACCGGCAATCGTTTCTATGGTAGGAGCGGTTGTAAAGTTTCACTTGGACTTTTGTTATTTTACGATGAATTATCGTCAGTGAAAAGACATACAAGAGCTCGTTATTATAATCGATTTATATTTGAACGCGGTGCAGATTAGTGCCAAAGCCGTCCGGGCGCACCTTGAGATTTCAAAATTAGACCCTCTTCCATCTAAATATTTCTTCAAGCGGAAAAAGAAGGACGTTTAAATAACGACGCGTTATTTGTGGTAACAATAACTTTATGTAATGAGTGCATAAGCTATAATTAGGGTCGGTCATAATTCGACGATATTTGCGTGCAAAAGATTCGTGTGATGTTAGTAAAGTACAAATTTAACCTAAAACGTGTATAGTTAATAACAACCCGCCTACCCAAAAAAAGCGGACACAATTCAAGCACAATTCAAGGGGATTTTGCTTATTTACAAGTACGAGTAAAAGCGGAATTAAGTGGCACTAATTGCCACTTTCGCTCTCAGGAGAGGAATACCTTTTGCGACTCGATTCTTCTCGCTGCCTAACCTCTCGCAGACTCTTCCTTATCGCCTTGTGACTCTTCCTACATAAATCCCTGAGCTTCGAGTAGTGCCACCATGGCCTAATATCGTCCGGCAGTCTCCTATCATCTAAACTATCTACAGTAACGTTTGAGGTAGTCTTAATTAGATCTTCGTTGAACTTCACCAAGAACAACTCGACTTGATCTCTTTGATGAAGATACTCGCAGTCTATTATATTGTCACGATCGTCGTATATTAGTTGAATGAAGTGTTTTCCATCGGTTAACTGACGAAACGTTAGCCTTACTTTTGACCTGCAAAAAAAAGAGAGCCAAAGGTTAAACAAATAAATGGCATAACAGTGCTTGCAATATAATCAATCATCGAGCCAGACGTTCACAATTGCTTTAATACAAAATTCGCTTCGTTAATTATTGTTATACGTATGTATTGATTGGATATTGTAATTAGTTTTTGGAAGCGCCTTAAGTCATACCTTTCACGGAAATTGCTTGAAAACCTTGCATGATCGATTGGTTTAGTGCAAAAAAATGGTAATGAATTGAATGCCAATTCGTCTGCCAGGCCAGGTTTTACACGAAATGTCAGGCTTGAGAAACCTGAATATTTCAAAGCTAAAGTGCAAAATCGACGTAAAACAAATAATAGACGTTCCACCAGGGCATGTCTGAACAGGAGAGGAATTTCCCTCCGGGACTCGCGTCAACTTACCCTTCGCCTGCTGATTCCAGAGCATTTTACTAACGATTGAAGCCCCTTTTTAAAAATTCCAAACATTTCAAATACAACAAAGTCCCTATAATCTAATACGAAAAATCCTTAATTACTTCTGCAAAAATTAATACAGTAGAACCACGATTATCCGAGCTAATGTGGTCGAGACGTATCACAAAGAACCACTGCTAAAACTGCTGTGTAAATGTTTACGTAGTTTGCTCGTAACTTTTAAAGTACAAGTATGCGCCAGAAATGAAAGCGTTCCGAGAAATTGTGCATCATTTGAAAATTCTAAAAAGTCTCGTGTTACCGTTGTGGTGCCATATGTTACGAAAGTACTACCTAAGTAGCTTAATTTGTAAGTAGAGTTTAAGTAAGTTGTTGTTGTTAACTAGTGATGTATCAATAACGGGGTAGTCGGTGAAGAGACGTACTTTCTTAATATATTTAATAGAGAGACACAGATTATCACACCGTCGCCAAATTCTAATGTACACGGTCCGTTACCTATGTTTCCTAATTCATTGTCACTGAAGGAGAGTTGTATTCATTGTAATGCAATCAAAAGGGCCGTCGTGTATTCGCTCCGGAAAACTCGCCACGGTAAATTCGCCGCCGAAAATTCGCCCCCGGAATATTCGCCCCAAATAAATTCGCCCCCAAGTAAATTCGGCCCCAAGTAAATTCGTCCCGGAATATTCGCCCCCAACAAAAATTGGCCCCGACAAATTCGCCCTTAGAAGATTCGCCCCCGTAGGATTCGCCCCATAACATTTATTAACCCTGGCCCTGTTACCTCCGAGGATTAATAAATCTTATGGGGCGAATCCCACGGGAGCGGAATCGCCGGGGGCGAATCTTCCACGAGCGAATTTGTCGAGGGCGAACTTGCCGGGGGCGATTCCGGGGCGAATCTTTCTGGGGCGAATCTTACGGAGGCGAATAGTCCGGGTACGAATTTACTTGGGGGTGAGTTTTCTTGGGGGCGAATATTCCGGGGGCGAATTTTCGGGGGCGAATCATCCTACAATCAAAATAGTATATGGCAACATTTTGAAATGAGATAGTATATTTGCATTCGTTTCAAAACTGGTTTCTGCGCCGTTATCTTTTAGTTTTGAAAGTAGATAACGGACCTGTCACAGCACTTTTCTTAGCATTCGACGTTTTATATTGGTTGACCCCTTTGTAAAATTTCGTTTTATTTACTTGACTGTGATGAAAAAGTAGTTTTAGTTGGAATATTACAAAAGGCGAAAAAAACCGAAAGGAAATTTGATTCGGCTCACAAAAACACCAACATATTCTTTTTACTCAATCTCATCATATACGAGTATATTGGTAAAAATGCCTCGCATTTTAAGACTCCGCTAGAGTGAGTATATTCCTTATATTACTTATAAAGTAATCGTAAACGATTTACAAAAAGCGCATTTCCACTTGCATTCATTTTCCATTTGTAAGATGCAACTTCTGTTAAAATCCTAAAAACCCGGCCACAAATAAGTAAGATAGGGTTGCATATGTGCAATCCCTATTTGACGTGCCACTTCAGTGTCAGTTTAAAGAAGAATCCTACCAGGAATCCTACCCTAAAATTTTAGAAGAATTAGTTTACAAATAACGAAGAGATAACGAGAGTCTGGGCATGCGCAAGAATTGTTTTGCGTATTTTTAGTCGGAACAAATTGCACATGCGCACCTTTTTTAAATAAGCATCAATTTTACTTTTAACTAAGAACATGTGTACCAAATTTCAAAACGATCGGACATTTCTAAACAAAGTTATCGTTCATACGGACAGATAGATGGACAGACAGACAAACGAACAGACGGACAGACCAACAGACAGACGACAGACAGCAATGCAAAATTATAAACGATCTCTAGGATCGTTAATAAACGGAAAAAGGGTAAAATTATGAAACATGTAAAAAATGGTTTTTGTTTTTATTTACAATAACTTTTTTAGCAATAAAGGCAGAAAAAAATTCCTTCCTTGGTGAAAGCCTCGACACCACAACGAACCAAATAGCGAAAAAAGTACAACAATAGCTCTTAAGATAAAGAACTAGTCGCGTCCAGACAAGAGGACGAACGGACAGACGGGCAGACGGACGGACAAAGTGGCCACAATAGCGCATTTTTTAAATTTTATGGATGTGATGGTGTCCGTCTGTCCGTGAACTGTCAAACGCTTGGACCGATTTGGTTCAAACTTTGCACAGGTGACCTATATACCAAAAGTAATAAGCCTATTGAAAATGGGTCAAGTCCAATGACCCCTTGGGGTTACGCCTCTCTGTCGTCTCTGCCAAACGATTGAACCTATTCGGTGCAAACTTTGCACAATTAACCTATATGCCACAAGTAATAAGCCTATTGCAAATGGGTCAAACCCAATGACCCCTTGGGGTCACACTTCTCTGTCTCTGTCAAACGCTTGAACCTATTCGGTTCAAACTTTGCACAGTTGTCCTATATGCCACAAGTAAGAATCCTATTGAAAATGGGTCAAATCCAATGACCCCGTAGGGTCACTCCTCTCTGCCTCTGGCAAACGCTTGAACCTATGCGGTTCAAACTTTGCACAGTTAACATATATACCACATGTAACAAGCCAATTGACAATGGGTCAAATCCAAAGACTCCGTGGAGTCACACCAAGGTGCTCTGCCGCTTTTGTAAACGCTCTTTATGGGTTTATTCTCTTTCACACTCCCTTGAAGACGTCATTGCGCCAATTCCACGAACCCTATCCGTGTTTGTTATAACTTTTCGTGATTCCTTCAATCTTCTCAATCCTTCTCCACGCTCTTGCTGCCTTTTTGATAATACGAAAAGTCGTAATTGCACGGTCTGGGTGGACAATTGGCCCCGCAACGTTAAAAGGTCGCCTGGCCGCTAGGCCAGTCCCCCTCCCCTCGCTCTCACCAAAAAAATTCACAACTCGAAAACGGTGCAAAGACGATGCCGGTGTGGTAAGAGGAGGGGCACTAATTTGCGCGTCGAAAGCAGTGGAAGAAGAATCTTTATCACCACCTTTGTGGGGGAGAGGGGGGTCTGTGATAAGTACCGTGTGTTCTATTTTGGTAGAGCCTGAAGTGTATCTCAGCTGTTTTTGTGATACTTTTAATCAATCTAGCAACATTGCTAGGGCGAAAACGAAAAGTTTGTCTTTTTGGGCTGTTATAATATCTTGCTACCCATATGTAAGAAAAAGGTAAAGTGCCTATTTTAGACATTATTACGTAGAACCCAGTCAAAAAAAAATTTTAGAGCATCGTTTCTAGGATTTGACCCAAAGGTGGTATTTTTTAAATACAACACTCTGTATTGAAATGACATGTTTCTAGCGTCAGTCACTTTTATTGATTGGTATCGGCTGCATTAGTTACTATGGATACAATAAACAAAACAAAATCCATGGCCTACTACGCAATCACTAACAAATTAATGTTTGATTTCCATGGCTAAAATTTAAAAGAAATAGAATAGAGTGTAATACATCAATATAATCAAGAAAAAGAAAAACTATTGACGTTAATAAATACATGGTGTTACTTTTAAAAAATACCAACTTCAAATTTCAGAAACGATGGTACAAACATTTTTTGGACTACGTCAGTGGATTCTACGTAAAAATTTCACTGTAATTAATTACTTTCTCCATTTGTCGGTATAGTCTCAGCGAAACGCGCTCCTCAAGCGACACTTTCTAGTTTAAAACAATATTCGTTGTCAAAAATTTGTTCCGTATATAGTTAAATATTTTGGTGTGTTAATATATTCCATCGCTCAATCCAACTAAATTAGCTACTAATTAGCACACTCAGCTGTAAAATCAGCAATGTCTATAGGTTCAATTAAAAAATTTCCAAGCAATGTCTAATTTAGTGTTTGTATTAGCCGAGTTAGACTACTTTCTGAAATTTTAGATTGCAATTAGTACTTTAATTAGCATATTAGCAGTTTTAATTAATTAATGGTCAAAAGATTTAATCTAAAAACCCTAATTTGTCCCTAATTAGCAAGGAAACTGTGTAATTAGCCCACACGAACAGTTTGTGTTTTGTTTACAATCAGAGAATTATTATTGGTGATAGTTTATCCGAGTTTTAATACGGTGGAAATTAAGTCACGTGTTAAAACACAAAAACGGCCTCAATTTTTTGGAAGTACATAATTTTCTGAGTGTCAAGGTTAATTTCACGCACGTTCCGCTTTCAATTTCCTTTTTTTGATGACAAAGCGAGAGATTATGAAGGTTTAGGTGGCACGGGAAGCGTATATCCACGCGTTTTCTATAATTTTGCAATCGCATTTAAATGATGACACATATGAATGACAATCGATATTAGGCGTAATCAATTAAGCGATTGGAATTGGAGGTCGATATTGAAATCACCGAATCAGGTGATATTATCGTCGGTAAGTATTAATTATCTGTCATGAAATAACACGCGCGTCCGCTGCTCGATAAGAACACAAAAAAATGCGTTCCCATTCCCTGTGACTTAATCGGTTAAGAAATCGGATCGAGTTTCACAAGCGTATAATCAAATAATCATAAAAT